AAGTCCAAGATAAGGTTATGGCCTTTTCCAATCTTTTTTTTTTTTAAATAACACTTAAAAAAAAACTTTGAAATTACTCTCTACACTCATAGCTTGCATCCAAACTTATTCCCATGGGACAAAAATCTTCAACCTCATCCTAAATCGGATTTAGGACTGTCGATTTGGTGGGCGGTTCCGGCCATTTGGTCCGGCCTGATTCGGTTGCGCAGCCCTACTAAATCCTATTCACTATGGATATGGGTTTTCATATGATTGCCCGCCCTTTTGCTCAAGACAAGTTTATTTTTATTTTTTTTGTTTGTTGAGATTGAATATGGTCTTTGTTTGTCGTAATTTTAGGATGGGGACATATCAAAGAAATGGGTGCATATGAAGGGTGCCTTCAATTTTGGGCGTTTGGGCGTGTTGATGAAAGTAAGGTCCACCAACTACTTATGTCAACTTCCACACTAAACCCAATTAATGCCTGAAATTAGTATCAACCATTCCACCTCAAATTACTTGGTCAACAAAATTATATCTTCCTTTTTCTTTTCCACCTTTCTTTTTCCCCTAGAAAATGAATGCAGACAATCGATTTATAAATAATAATAATAATAATAATAAGAAAAAAACGTAGGGCAAGGTCCGAATTGTGTGCAAGCATGTTAATTCCAGCAGGAAAATTGGACTTTTGGGCATCCTTTTCTGCATTTATTTCAGGATTTTGTTTATAAATCTATCTCTCGTCTGTTTCTTGGTCTTGGACATGCTGCTTCACCATTGGTGAATGGTGATCCCTACACATGCCTCACCGTTAATCACTCTCTTATAAGTTTTATTTTATTCATTGCAGATCGATGTGTGATGGAATGGGATGGGATGATGTGGCTCTAAACTATTGGTTCCCTTCTTTTTGCCATATATTCCCACATCATCACCATCTTCATCTCATAGATTTCATAGATTCAAACTCAACATGTTACGTGCTTGCTCTCATTGTGTCAAGTGTCAACCTTTATATGCTTCTTAAGATTAGATCCTCTTAATTTCTGTATTACTTATACACAAAAACAAAATCACATGCACAACTAAAGTTCTCTATTTATTATGTGACAGCTCTTCTATAGGAAAGACGGTGGCAATAAACTCGTAGTTCAAGTGGCTAAGAACATTTACTCATTCACCCGAGATTCTAGTTTCAATTTTCCCCCTCCCTAGAATCGTTTGCACTTAAAAAAAAAAAGAGGAAGAGGATGGAGAGAGAGATGTGGAATTTTATTAAACGGGGGCCGACCCCATGCCAATGCTAGAATTGACGCTTGAGTTCCATAATTGAGGGGCAATGGTCAATACAAGACAAGACTCAATCCAAATACCAATTATCCCAAGCCAGCACATAGCAATTGTCTGTGTGAGACTATGAGGAGACCCCTCACCAACTTATCATACAATCTATTGACAAATTAGAGACGTAAGTATGGACGTTTTCTGACCGTTGATGCACATAAAACTTATAATACATCAACAATCAATACACGCGATGGTGATGAATTACTGTAGTATAATTTCAACACACATTCTACATGTCTAAATGTCGAAATAGTTCTGAAGGGTTTTGTAACTTTTCACCTTAGAAAAGAAATACCTACTTTTATACCTACCTGTCATATGAGTCAGACAGGTTAACGTCTTTGACAATGACATATTAAATTTCATAAGCACATCTGAGGCAGACGCTGAAGAAATTCCCAGGCAAACCTTCCAAACAAATAATATAAATAGAATGTTTATATTTTTTAGTACAAGTAATAGTCTAAATTATAAGATTTAAGAAAAAAAAAATTTCTCTCACACACAACTATAATACCGTGAGAATTCGAACATGAGACCTCTGAGCTAGACCCGTTGGCAAATGCTAAATTTTCTGAGGCTCGTTAAATTGGTGAAAGAAACAAGAAAAACTACATTGCATTTGGACTGCCGGATGCCCTTAATTCTCTCTGTGTCGGTTGGAGAAACTGTCCATTTAGCCTTTTCTTCTTTTTTAATTTTTCCAAATCTTAATGCTTGGAAGTTGTTGAAAAAGACAACTGATCTATACACTGATGTAAGCATCTACTAGTCATGTGCCACTTTATATAAATATGATATCGTAAAGAAATCAATTATTTATGTTTTGATCATAAAGGAATCAAACCATGGACCATACAATATGTTGAAGTTAAATCTCAACACTGCCGCCGACACTTTCAAAAAAACTCGTTCACCTCATTTATGCCATTCTTTGCTCTCTCAACTCAACTACCATTTTCAGAGTTTTTTTGTTGGTTATCCTTCTTTCTTTATCACAGATTTTATTAGCACAAGTCTCCCAAATGCATAAATGATTTCGACACTAGTAAATTATTCTCTGTCACGTAAATATAGATAGACGGTCGCATTTAGCAAACCTAATTGATCAGATTACGACTTAAGTAATGTGTATTATTTGCTGAATTTGATCTATAAAAAAACCTTGAACAAGTAAGTCTAGGTGGATTTGTTACAAAAAAAAGAGAGAAAAAAGAAAGAAAAAGAAAGGGTGAGCATGTAGATATAGGAGTTTGGAGTTAGGAGTAGGGATCAAGTAAGTCTTAAATTTGTATACAATAATGCAATGCAACAAAATCTTTTTGGCTTAGAAGTTAGGAGTTTGGTAGGAACCACACAATTTGTGGATTGGTAATAATAATGTCACAAAAGACCACATGGTGACATTTCTGACAAAGTGTAGTTGGCAATATGAAGACCTGCTGTATTTACCATGGAGAGCAAGTGGGCACTCACCCTCTAAATTGAACATGGCCAGCTCTGCATTACCAGAATGCATTGTTCATTCTTCTGAACATCATAATAATGGAGAAAAGAATAACTATGTGGTATATGCTAAGTTTGATTGCTCCCTCCTACCCTACCCAACAAAAGAGAGAGAGAAAAAAAATCAATATTTTTCTTGTATTTAAATTTATTTCTTCTATTTACAACCATGATTTTCTTATACATATAGATTGAATATAAGTGATGGATAAAATGTATGATTTTTATTCTTAATATTTTTTTTATAAAAAGTTAACGAGATTGACGGTAAGGACGAAAATGACACATAAATGAATAACCACATAACTTAAAAACTGAATTAAACTTTCAAAATGAAATTATAAGTATATGGTAACTTTGTCAATTGACCAAAAAGGTGGATGAAAGAGGGAGATGGTTGTTCCTCCAATCAGCCCATTGTTTTCTGCCATGTTAATATTATCCCTTTTGTATGACAAACCTATCAGAGCAACTTGCTTTCGAAGTTTCCATTGTATATTTTATCTGCATTAAAAAATTAAAAAATTAAAAAAAAATTAAAAATTAATCTCCTCCCTGTATTATAATGTATACACATTATTATTATCACAAGGCCTGCACTGGAGGTTATTATAGTAGCTAGGTCTCTCTGCAGAGTGCAGACGCACATTGATTCAAGTAAAGAAAAAGTTTAAACAGATAATGACACTTCAAATGCAAGTAAACCCAATACCATAATCATCATATGCTTACTTTAATCTCAAGTTTAAACCTCTTTTGCTTATCCTTTTTAACTAATTAATTATAACAAGGCAGAGTGATGAAATTTTACATATCATCACAGGTTACAAATTAATGATTGATCGCATCAAAAAAATAAATTAAAATAAATTAAATCATTGAGACATAGGCATGAAAAGTGACATGTTCCAGAATGTCCTGCCCTACTTGCCAGGGAAGGTTTAGGGCAGATGGTGAGGTGATTTATAGATGCTTTGCATTTTTCTGAGACATGTCTTTTGCGAGACATATCTTTACGGTGTCTAATTGAGGATATGTATCATGCATTTAAGAAAGAATCAACATAATTATTGAATCAGTTTCATAATCTGACAACATAAACACTTTATAACAACATCGCACCTACATGCAAGTACAATTGTTGATGCATTTGCTAACATGAGTCGCATATCCATCAACGATTAAAAATCTCCCACACTCAAGTAATATTATAGCTGTTAATATTTTCTTGCCATACATATTTTTATATTGTATGACCGTGAATTTGGATCACAATTTTAAGAAACAATCAACATGATTAGTAATTCAGTTTTACAATCTAACAACACAAGCGGTCTATTATCACACATCTTCATCATTTTATTGCCCATATTTTATATAATCTGGTTTAAATTTTTGTTAAGATCAGTCTCCCATATACAAATGACCGGAATCTAATCATTTATACATTGTAAATCTCATTTGAATCAACGACTAAGTATCTCTCACGCCCTAAGTCCAGTGACTCAAGCATAGCCCTCAGCATAAAGTAAAAATAATCAGTGTGAATAGTCAACCGATGAATTTCAATTTTCTTGGATGCTGCTTCCAGTGCCTTTATGTCACAGCTCATGATTTACATATGCAAGTGGGGTCTTTAGAAGGACAAAGCTCTGACTCAGAGTCAGACAGGCAACGTGCATATATCCAAACTTTAGAAATTGTGTTGCATTCGACCAAAAAAGAAGAAATTGTGTTGCATACACTGGCTATCAAGAATCACAGAAAGGTGTATGGTTCACATAAAATTAAGCAGACTTTGATTTTTTTTATTTTTTTATTTTTAATTCAGCAGAATTCCATGAATCATTTAACCATTTTTTTTTAATCAGAAATAATTTAACCATTTCTGCCACCATAATTTCAGATGAAGGGACCGAAGGAAACCATTGGTAGCCTTACAAAGACTGTCAAGCTTATTAATCAATGGAGTTGATCAATCTGAATGACTAAGCATATGAATATATGATGATTATCAAATGATGAGTAAATTTTGATTACAAGACTACAACTTCAACTAAATTTCTTTTTTCTTTTTTTTTCATCCAGGAGCTTATTCCTCACAATCCAAGAAGAAGAAAAAAACTATAGCTGGCAAACCCAAGAAAAAAGAACAAAACTTCACAATTACAAGCAATCTATTTAAAGGGAATAGTACTATTTCCTTGTCCTTGAAAAACATTTATGAAAAAAAAAACCATGACGTCTGCTTCTTCCTTGACAATTCACTCTGTATAATGTGTTCAGCTATCAGCATTTGGCTTTTCTCTGAAAATTTCCAGGTATACTTGAACTGTGACATGAGATTCGACGAGGAAGGCGCAGGTAGAACCTTTTTTTTTTTTTTTTCCATCGCAAGATGAGTTTTACTCAGCTGAAAATAATCCAAGTTGCAACCAACATTTGCTCATAGAACCCTACTTACTTAAATCTTTGTTGAAGAAGAGAAATATGCTGGCATGGCATGAGAAACAATAGGGGAGATTGTGTCAATTAATCTATATAATTTAACTACGAAGCGCTGCTGATTAAGAGCTGGGGATGATGGTTCCAACGTAGCCAAATCCGCAGATCAAGAACGTAATGGTTTGGAGGAAGAGGTATACAAAGTAGTTGTTCTTCCCATGCACATAATCATAGCATCCACAGACGAACAGAAAGGCCCCAAATCCCAGCTCCAAGAGGTGAAGCCTGTTAATGTTTAGCCAAGGATTAACAGATATAAAAGATTGCATATTAGGGGAAAATGGTGTGTAGAAATGTTGGAAAGAATAAGAAAAAACATTACAGGACAAAGCAGAAGGTAATAAAGAACAGGCTTGGGATGGTTTCATAACACCAGTAGATAATATTATTTTCCTAACCCCACATGTTTACTCTTAATAAACTCTCATCTGCTGTCATATGCCTGCAGCAGTTGATTTATATGATACTTAGGTGGATAGACCAATGCAAAGATTCTGATCTCCAGTAATGAAAAGGGTAAAAACAGAAAATTATTCTTACTTGTGGGATTAGGTTAATGTTGGCAAATAATTAAAACATATGGTACATGTGATTTGGTTTTTTGGCCAAGGCTTAAAGTTATGCAGAAAAGACAGAGCTCTCTGTGTGCCAGTGTAGATGTGGTGTCAATGCAAATAGTTACAAATTTCTATGCACATTGCACATGGAAAAATAAAATAAGCAAGTCTGCAGTAGAAAGAATAAAAGTGTTTAACGAAATTTTACCTGTTGCCAAACTTGAACTTTGGCCTTTTGAAAAATTTGGGGGCTGGTTTCTTGGCAGCCTCTGCTGCTTTGTTCTTGACAATATCTCCCAGTTTTTCAGTGACAACCCACTCATTGGCCCTCCCTGTTTCTAGCAGGCCAATCAAAGTTGCCTTGGTCCGGTGCAAAGACATCACGTTCTCGAAAAGGATCCAGTAAAACAACAGGTGAATCGACCTGCATAAATTCAAGAAGAAGATTGATTACTATCATAAGATTGAAGAACATGTAATAAAAGTAATTAATGAAGAAATCAAGTGTAGAGTCTAAAAGACCTTGGAGTTCCAACTGAGTTTAGAATAGTGATGATGGAAGGAATATAAACTGCCCCCCAGATTGGAACATAAACTTCAGGAACCAAAATGGTCAGAGGAAGTACAACGCAGTAAAAGAAGAAGGTCACCATGTGGGCTATGATCTTTCGGACAAAGAAGAAACTGTATATGACATAAAATTTCTTCCACAATGTAACTTTCTGCAACATACATACAAGAAACATAATTATAACACATGAAGAAGGAAGAAGGAAGAAGAAGAAATTGCATTAGGGGCACAAGTGAGTAATATAATTAAAATGAACTCACCTTAGTTTTTACTATTTCCATCACCATTTTCCTAAACAGATTAGCAGGACCACAAGACCATCTGTGCTGCTGGAAACGGAAGGCATTGAAAGTACTTGGAAGTTCACTTTTCACCTGAGACATAGATAATTATCAGAAATTGTGTTCATGTCATCACTATAGTAGTTAGACTTCACCTATGGATGAACCATTTGATTTGTTCAATGTACATACATATTCGGTTAACAAATACCTGAAGGTCACCAAGGTACAAAAATTTCCAGCCTCTGAGACTAGCCCGGACAGCAAGATCCATATCCTCCACTGTCGTCCGGTCTTTCCACCCGCCTGCCTCATTAATAGCAGCAATTCTCCACACACCAGCGGTCCCTGCAATGTTTTCATATGTCAAATTCAGAACTGCAAATACTCTGAGTTGACTGTTGCAGTTGTAATTAGAATATGCATTACCATTTTAGCAAGAAACTACCAATATGCAGTGCAAATATGAGCAAAAATATATGCAATGCTTTATCAAGTTACTTTAACAAGAAGTAACTAGTAATTACTGCGTCTGATTAGTAACTTGACAATCACTTGAGTTCAAATTCTCAATTTATCCAGTTCGACTATTGAAGACCATATACTTTGTCTCTTTTAAAATTCAAAACTTTGGCAATGGCGTGATTTTAGCCAGGAATGAAGGACCTAGAAGTCAACCAATTACATTTATTATAAAAAACATATTAAAACATAACTTTGATGAAGAAAGATATGATAATGACTGTGTAACATCCCTCCCTGCAAGTCTAAAGCTAAGTCTTAGTCTTGCAGACTTGGTCAATCTTCTATTTTTCTCATATGTTCAAGTCACTCTCTCATACCAAATATACGTATATATTTGCCAATTAGTCCCCACCAATTGGGAACCCTGAACCAGCACTTTGCACATGTCAACCAATTAATAGACAGGGACAAATCAAGATAAATATTTTTCACAAAATAAAAATAAAAAACGGCAACATGGATGATAATTCAAATTGACCATAAGTGGTATTTGTTAAAACTGGGTTTACCATTGAAACCGAAGAAGGCATGTGTTGCTGACCCAACTTCTTGTTCAACTGTGAAATGATAATCCAATGACATCTCCTGCATTCTGGTCAACAAGCACTCATCCGAATTCACTGCAAAACCGCATAAACAATTTTAGCTCACCCCCAAAATAAAAAATAAAAAAAGAGAGAGAGAAAAAAATGTACATGTAACATAATCTAAATAATCTAAATGTGCAGACGTGAGTTAGACAAGTTGGTCAAAGCAGTTAGCTCACCTCTTGCGCCCAAGTTAGATTAATTTAGAATATTTTAGATCATTACTTGCATAAAAAAGAAAAATAAAATGTGAATGTAATAAATGATTAAAATATAAAAATATGTGGACCCCATCAAAAATAGGAAAGAAACTCAAAACATTTAAAAGTAGGGAACTGGTCTGGTGGTCACGTGACACAAATGAAGGTTGGCCACGCTAGCATGAGCACGACAAACCAAGTGTCGGTAAAGGCTGGAGCAGAGAAAATGTAGGTCCACCGCAAGGCTTTCTATGGTGCCACCTAGTTTTAGTAAACACAACACCACGTGAGCAGTGCACTAGCGGCTAAAAATCTTGAGTCCGTAAATTGATACGTTTGTCACTCAAGTTTCCGGAAACTCACTCTGCTCCGGCCGCTTACGAAATATTTGACCGTTTGAACCGTACAATCCGGGTTTACATAAGGCAACTTATTGTCACAAAATTACCGTCCTTGTTCTCGTGCAGCAAAATGACAAACCTACCCCGCCTTTCTAGCATCTGATCATGCCGGTTCACAAGAAGAAGGTGACACTGACTTTGCTACTTGAGTGAGGGATCCTAATCCTATGTTAGGGGCTCTTACGTCATTTACCATAAATACGAGAGACATGGAATCAAAATTTGTAGTGAATGTTTGACACGTTATGTTGACAGACTGTGAATTAACCGACCCATCAAATTAATATTTCCACATAATAACAAGCTAGATGACAAGAAAACATCAGTCCAAAAATAAATGGTTGGACTTTTATTTTTGTTTTCTGCATTATTAGGCCAATGAAAACGTAATCTTGAAGAGAAAAAGCAGGGATTAATGGCAATAAAACTGACAAATTGAACATGAATCACACTTCCGTTCCGTCCATGACAAGTACTTTCTAATATTTCCAGACGTGGGTACCAAGCAGCCCTTGATGAAGGGCTAGCAGACAAACAGGTGTCAAAATCAGAGATGGCCAAGAAGGGCTGCTCTGTGTGGGCCCGACACCGTGATTGATGGGTTGTACTCTGGAAGACCCATTGCCCATGCACACTATACACACAAACTGATCCCGCCGACGGAAAAGAAAAAAAAAAAGCCCAAATACATACCCAAAAGGAAAAACAAAAAGAAAAATCCACAAAATCAGACCACCGACACTCGGAAAAATTTAATAAGCGCAATTGAAGGGTAGGTTAAAAAAAACATATAATAATAATCTAATTAATAATAATAATCAGAAAAATGAAGAAATTATAATTAATTTACCGAATCTCCATCGAGCTTGAACCAGGGCAATGTCTGGGTTGTGGACCAAGAAAGGGATGGCTCGCCGGAGATAGTCTGGTTCAGGCCTGAAATCGGCGTCGAAGATGGCCACGTACTCGCAGTGCTTCACGTAGCTGCGCTTCAAGCCTTCTTTCAAAGCCCCAGCCTTGTAGCCTCCCCTGGTTTCTCTGATTTGGTACCTTATGTTTATGCCTTTACTTGCCCACCTTTGACACTCCAGCTCCACCATTTGCTGCAAAAACGTCAGTTTTAGATAGTTTTATTAAAAACCCACTTGCCTATTTTGTTAATGCGACGAGTCAAATGGCAAAAATGAAACAAAACCCATGTCAGAAACCACAAGGGTCACGCCAGAAAACTCAATAATTGGGCTACTTCATTCTCTGTGGCTTTTTAACAAACACATTGAAAAGACCCTTGTCACTAGAATGATGAGATTTGTTGGCGGTGGTGGTTGGAAGGAAAAGTGATGAAGAAAAGATTACATTTTTAACGGGAAATGTGGGAGAATAATTAGTGGGGTGATCTAAATGATGGGTTGTTTTCCGAATTTAGGAAAGTTTACCTTGATTGTAGGGTCAGTTGAATCATCAAGGACTTGGATCACAAGACGATCGGACGGCCATGAAAGACCACATGCAGCACCAATAGAGATCTTGTAGACCTGACCCAAAAACCCATGAGAACACACAAAAAGCACCATACTTTTAAAGCTTTTTCTCTCACAAACAGATAACAGCACACAACAATGCTTGTGAATCTAAGAACACACAAAAACAAAAACAGAGAGATTCTGATAGCAAAGCAGCATGTACCTCTCTTTCATTGAACATAGGGATTTGGATTAGAACCACAGGGAAATTGGAGCTGCCCAGTTCCAGGTCCTCCTGGATGGGCTCATATTTGTAGCGCTTCTCTGGTTTCTTCCAGAAGAGCTTGACCAAAATGATGACAATTCCCATGTAAAGCCTCTCAAAGAAGAGCATGAGAGACATGGCCAAGGAAATGTAGACACAAACTCTGAGCAAAGGTACTATCAATGGCGCTTTGATTAGCTCCCAAATCAGCCCAATTTGGCCTGCAATGTCATATGTGCCCCCTTGAAATGATTCTGGTATCAGAACTCTGGTTGTGGTCTCAGCCATATCTCTCACTCTGCAAAGGCAAGAGATGAGAAGATGATGAACAAAACAAAACTAACTACCAGATCTTTCACTCACTTTTTTGGTTTAAATGAAATGTGACCAATGTGGGGAAGTGGTTTTGTATAGGATTAAATTGCGGCTCTCAAATTCTTCAATAAGGCAAGACAGAAAACAATGGGCTGAAAAATCCTTTGATTTCAAGAAAAAAAAAACCCAGAGAGGGAAATTTACGAGGCAATACAGATTGGCTCTCTTGTTTTCTCCTCTTCACTCAGAAGTGGAAAGTACAGAACAAAAAATCTACACTTTCCCTTCTTCTAAGCCTCTCTCTCTCTCTCTCTCTCAAAGATCTGTGCCAACTATTAACTTGTTCTGCCTCTTGGCAAAATGAAGCAGAGACAGGACTGAGAGTGCTGAGAGAGAGTATGAAGGACAGAGAGAGAAAGGGGGGGTCTTTTATAGTCAGTTTTGGCCCTACTTAGAATTTCATATTTATTTATATTTATTAGTATTATTTATTTCTCTTTTGGCCAGACTATATGTATTCTAATTCACTCTCTCTTTTAGGTAGATATCCTTTTGCAATTAAGAGAATCCTCACACTTTCAACTGTTCCAACTCCAAGTCTGAGTGACTTCATTATTGTCCAGCTTTTACTTGCTTGTTGCAAATTACAAGGTATATATTCTAACAAAAAAAACAATAATAATAACAAGCTGGTTATAATGCAAAAGGGCAGCATTGTCATTTCTCAATAATAGAACATCTCAATAATTTTTATTTATTATATTTAAATAAATAAATAAAAATAAATAAAAAATAAATAAAACCCCTATCCTCCTTCCCTTTCTAGCTACTCTGGCATTGTCGCCGAGCTCATGCCATATTTGGTTAGGTGTGCAAGCAGTGAAAATCTTTTTCTTTTTTTTTTTAATTTTAATTATTTTGGTTTATAAATATTTCAGTTGGAATTACAAGGGTAAAACTATAATTTCATTGCTAAGTTGACTTGAAAAGTAACTTCTAAAGTTGAATTCCACATTGAATTATTGGATATCTCATGAATATACTGCGATGATATGATAATTAGTTTTCCTAAAATAGAAAACAAATCAGTGCAAAATAATATCACAGCATTATATGTGATTGAATTTCTATTTAACAGTTTCCAAGCTTGTTTCTACCTTTTGCTCTGACTTATGAGAGGTAAATTTCCTTGGGGTAAAAAAGGAAAACAATAATGTGTTACTTATTCGGTCAAGAGTAAAATCTTCAAGAATGATCTTAACTTTTAATAAATGCAGACCTCATTGTTAAGCCGGTCTAATACTACGAATCTGATCTGATATCTCTAGCCTAAATGATGAACTTGACATTCAACACATTATATTGATCACCGTACATGGACGTGTGATAATATGGATGAATTAGTAACATCAAGTTCACATTAGTCCATATAAATAGTTGAATAAGTTGCTAGAAATTATATTTGGCCATGAATCCTAAGCTTATCTCGGTATTGCAATTGACTTATTTAAAGAGAAACAAGAATTGATGTCGTAGTATGACTAATTTACCAATGGTTGAGACCCAATCAGAAGATGCTTGAGAATAATAGAGATAAACAAAGAGAGACCGAACTCAAGGGTTGGTCTGGTAACGTTTTATAAAAACAGTTTTTGAAAAATTGCTTTGCAAGAAAAAAATGACAAATATAATTTTTTTTATTTTTAAGATATGCAAATGGGAAAATAGTAAATAACATGTTTGAGCTTAACAACAACCTAGCCTTTCATTTGCTTGGTCAAAATATCATCAAGTTGTTTTGACTTGAAATATGATGCACAAGATCCAACTCAAAATTAATTGGTAACGGATGAATAGACTCAACATTCCTTTTATGTTTTTGGGTTGTAGCTATGCCCACCTCTTTGTCAATAGCCACATAATCTTTTTAGGAGTTGGGTAATTTAGAAGTTGTACTTACTTTTTAACTTTTTCTCCTTTAAAAGAGTGAACCTCATGAGTCTCTGAAAATTGTAGGTACCGCCAAGTAAGTCTTAGAGTCTAGTTCCGGCCAAAAGAATAAAAGCCTACAAACCCAACTAAATGACACTCAATGCAAATTTTACAGTGCCTTTTTAGCCACACTTGAAACCATTAACTTCCAAGGGGGATTTTTTTGGCCAGCAAAGCAACTTCCAAGGGTTTGGTTAAGGTTCAAGCCTTGTGAGTGTTTCTCACTTTGCCTTTACAAAAGAAAAAAGGACAACCGAACATTTTATAATGAACTCATATGAACTCTTGTGGTCCAAGTTTTTACACAATATATATGCGGCAAGCATATTCTCTGACTCTGAGTACAAGTAGGATTCAAGATTTTTACTTTTATTTTGCTAGTTGTAACTGGTAATATTTTTCTTGTCCATGCTAAACGTAATGGGAGATTAATTACATGAGTTTGATTTCTCTTTTCCATCACTAATTAAATATTAGTTTGTTTAATACTTATTAGCCACGAGATTTGAACTTATGATATATTTGTTAGCTTGTTTAGGACTAAATATTTGTTAGCTTGTTTACTCAATCATGAGTACTTGAAATAACAAGCTAATATGGAGGTCCATATGAGTAGTCCATATATGACACCCTCACTACAGAATTTCGCTATAGAAGATAAGTTGAATGTGTTGTTAGTGGACTGGGTATAGGTATTATATTGTCTCAAGAGCATAAACTAGTTGCATTCGTTAGTGAAGCTCATAAAAAATGAAGTACCTATTATCAGGAATGCTACCCGGTGCTGAAGGCTTGGAAATATGGGGAGTATTAATTAGGATAGTTTATGCATAGGCAATCCGCTTCTCTCTGGTTCAGTAATCGGCTTTTCTTACTCTACTTGATTGCCGAACCGAATCCACCCTTACATATAGATAACTCGTGTTTTTTTCTTCTTCTTCTTCCTTTGTTTATGAATTAGGATAGTGGCCTAATGGATTAGAATTAGGATAGTTTCTGCATTTGATTCCCTTTAA